CCTGCCGTGGCTCACCAACAGGTGAGTGCGGAGCTGCCACGGTGCTGGGGCTGAGGCTATGCCTGTGCGGGAAAGGGGAAAGCTGCTGCTCCCCCCGCCCGCCCCGATTTCTCTGGCTGGCAGGACATGGGAGGCAGGTGTGGATTTTCGTCCTGCACATCAGGTGTTGCCCCAGATCCTTCTCTCATGCCAAGTTGGTGGCTGAGTTTAGGCGGCACTGATTTTAGGCGGCCGCCCCGTGTCCTGCTGCACCTCTGACCTGCTCAGCTTGAAAATGCTGGTGCTGGTGGCTTCCACGTGACAGCAGCCACAGGGGACCTGAGCATCCTCCCCTGCTCTCAGCAACCCTCACCCTGTGCCCCACAGCAGCGCAGGGGTGAGGGCATGGCAGGATGAGCTAGAGGAGAGGGGAGGCAAGGGTGCATCCCTGGGGAGCGGGGAAAAGGGTCTGGAATTCCAGCTCATTGCCCCAGTGGGGTAACAGACTCCCCAGTTTAACAGTTAGCCCAGGAGTGTATTTTTGCATGATAAAACTGAAAATAATGAGATACATAGAGCTGCATCTGAGCGCTTTCTGGCTTTTAGCTATGGGAGTATTTGGGGCTTGGTTTTGTTCTTGTCATTTCTAACATGGAGCGGGTGCCCTACCCACAGCAGAAAGCCTGGGCTCTGATGCAGGGCTTAGCAGGACTGATCACCCTCGGTAGCTCTGGGCCGTTAGGGAAATGAGCTAATGACTGGAGACCATTAGGAACCACTGAGAAGACCACGGCTGGTTATTGCAAGGAGCAACAAGCCATACCTACTCTGGGTATCAATTACAGGCACTAATTTGAATGGTACATTTGCTTTTAATTTGCCAGTAACAAATGAAATCGTTCTTCCCAGGTTAATGCAGAGAGGAGTGAAGTTTTTTCATAAGAAGGTTGAATCTTTCCAGGAGGTGAGTGGCGATGTCGAGTCAGGGCAGAGCGGGCACAGCCCCGTCCCGGCATGGAGAAGCAGCATCCAGCAGGCACGTGCTGCTCCGGGATGTCCCTTGGCATGAGTGATGGGCCAGGGGACAGCGGCAAGACTACGCCAAGACCTAGGAAACAAATTCTACCAGGAAAGATAAAGGCTCTCGGGCATCAAGAGATGGCTGAGAGGGGACGGGGTAGTGCATTTGGCCAGCACTGAGTGAAGATGCAGTCAAGCATCGGCAGTACAGCTTTCCCTTAAACTGCAAACATTCTCCTTGCCTGCACACATGGGGTCTCTGCGGGAGCCGTGCCGGGGAAGCTATGCCCTGGATCCGGCCCTTATGGTTTATTCATTACCAGACTGTTGGACCGAGTACTTGGCTTGGCTTTGATGCAGGAATCTCCTGCCGCCCGTGGGTAGTGCCCTTGGAAGCATCACTGTGTGTGCACTGCTCACTGCGCCGCGTCTGTCTCTCGTTAGATGTTTGCCCAGGGCATGGATGTTGTAATAAACTGCACTGGGGTGCGTGCGGGGGAGCTGCAGCCTGACCCAGAGCTACAGCCCGGCCGTGGACAGGTCATAAAGGTGAGGTGGGTGCAGGGCTTGTGTCCCCTCTCTTTTTTCCGGAGGAGCCATTCGTTAGCTACCTTATGAGGAGATATGCCCTCTAGGACAAATTGCGGGCTTGTGGGCTGGACCCACACTGGGCTCAGGTCCTGATTCCCAGGAAACGATGGTCATGTAAAATCCTCGTGTGTGGGGGGGCCAGAGCAGAAAACCTGGATCCTGTTCCTGGTTCAGCCGGGGGGATGCCCTGAGTCTCCAGCCCGTTTCTTGGTTGGGTGAAGGTGGGGGGAGGCCAGAGGCATAATGCCAATAATAAAAAGACATAAAATCCTTGTGAGAAGAGGATGATTATTTGGGGAAACACAGACTCACACCAGGTAGGAAGCTCCTCTGCTTGCCTGCCTGCCCTCCAATCTCCCTGTCTTCCCATGGCGGCAGCGCAGGGAAGCCAGCGCCGTGCTGTACATAGAGCCTGAGCAGAAGGGGGGGCATCACATGCAGACCCCAGCGTCCACGTTCGCTGAGATGCCCACATCCCTCCCGCTGCCTCCCTGAGCCAGGGACCCCGCTCTCCAGCTCTCCCTGACCCTCTCCCCTTCGTCTCCCAGGTCCTGGCCCCGTGGGTGAAGCATTTCATCATCACACACGACATTGAATCTGGTATCTACAACTCGCCGTACGTCATACCGGGGTAGGTGACGGTGGGCGAGGCAGGGTCTGGCTGGCATTAGCGATGCTTTGCTATCAGCGCTCCTAAAGCACCGGCTCAGACGCAGCTCCCTGCTGACGTCTGCCCTGCAGCACCCCTGGTGCAGCAGCCCAGGCCTGGGTTCATACCTGGCCTGATGATGCTTTTATTTGCTGCGTGGGAGGAGAGCAGAAGGACGTGGGCAGGCAAAGCAAGGGAGCTCCCTCGGTTGGCACAGAGAGCACGAGCTCCCTGCGCAGGCCCCAGCTCGGCACTCGGACGCGAGGTGGGTCCGGGCTGGTCCTGGGCTCCCGGGCTCTTGGATCAGGCTGCACCACAGGGCTTCGATGTCCCTGGTCTTGTCCTTTTCCAAGGAGCAAATCCCACCAAAGCAAAACGCCAGTCTGGGCCAGGTCCTCAAAAGAGCCAAACACTGACAGTGGGGCAAGCATTTTGGGAGAGATCTTTTGTCTTCACCTTTATACCCAGTTCTTTTGTCATTGGTGTTGACAAAACTGCTGTACAGCAGCTCGTCATGGGGAAAGGCTCTTCTGATTCATGCTCCCATTAAAACCAGTAGCAGGAATCCTTTTTACTTTAATAAAAGCCTACCCTAAAAAGCTCAGCCCTTCCCGCACTGTTACCCTGAGCTGTGCCTGCAGCTGTTGGTGAGACGTCTCCTGAGGGCATCCCATTCGGTTTAGCACCCATGCGGGGCTCCCTGCCACCTCCCTGCGGGAACCGAGGAGGAGTCCCAGGGGAAAACCTTATTTCTGTGTCCCCATAGCAGTGAGGAGGGCTGAACTGAGATCCTGGCCCCGAAAGCACCATCTCCCGAGCTCAGCAAGCGGCCTGTGCCCAGGCGGAGCCCAGCTTCCAGCACTTATCTTGCACTTTCCACCTGCTTTCCACCAGCAGCTTTCTTAGGGGAGTCGGGATCTATTTGAGATGGCAGCATATGCATGTACCCAGGGAGATAAATTGCAGGAGAAATAAATACATGTCTGCTGTTCATCCCACCTCTGTTTCCTCCTGAGAGCAGCCATCTACTCTGCTTTGGCAATGGAGAGAGTTTTTTTAAGCTGTAACTTGAACACTGCATTTCTGGCACTTCCTATTGTGCTAATATTTCAGGATTAGGCAATAAGCCATTATGTAAAGAGGAACTTTGAATGCTCACAGCCCCCAAGCAAAGTATTCCAAGAGATTTCTGATCACAGTCCCAGCTACATATGAATTCCTCTCCCTGTGTTTATTTTAGCTTGAGCTGTCATAGCTGGGCACCAGGCTGGCTCCCGAAGGAAGCAGCCAGGTCCAGCTCTCAGGCGTGGGGGACACCTCTGCCACGCTGGAGAGCTCGGCCCCAGGGGCTCCCCTCCTGCATGCCCTGGCATTCAGCCCTTTTGTCTTTGTGCTTCCTAGGGCTCAAGCAAGGCTTTAGAAGGGTCCAGCAGGTACAGACACCCCCAGCTCCCCCCAGCCTTAACCTGTCTTGTCCTCTGTTAATCCACAGGAGTTTTGAGGCGGCAGCAACAGAAATCTGTTTCTTTGTGTTCCCCACTGCAGCCATCCTGTTCCTTCCAACTCTCTTCCCCAGCCAGGCAGGAGCAGACCTGTTTGATAGAAGATGAAATTAGCTGTTTGGTTTGCCCAGGCAAGGGCCTTTGGGGTGCTGATAGTATTTAATGAATGACTTGCTCATGAGCAGACATGCAGGCACCGCTCTCTTGCCTGCTTGGTGTGAGAGTTTCTCTGGGAGGAATACATTGCAGGCTCAGGGCGTAGCAGGATCCATACATCACACACACGCAGAGTCCCTCCGTGTGATGGCCCAGCAAAGGACGGCTGGACACTCACCACCATTTATCTCCTTTGGCTTTTGGTGCAGGAGTGAGTTCACGGTCTTGGGAGGGATCTATCAGCACGGCAACTGGAACGAAGAAAACAGCGCCCAGGATCACAAAACCATCTGGGAGAACTGCTGCAGGCTGCTCCCTGCTCTCCAGGTGGGTGACCCCGACCCAACGCCCACCGCCGGGAGGTGGGGAGGGAGGGGGCACGGAGAGCCCGGGTGCTCGGGCACAGCTGAAGCCGCCAGGGAAGGATGCTGAGGACAAACCACAAAATCTGAATGAGTAACACACGGTGCCTGCCTTCAGCAGGCCAGGAGAGCTGTAAAGCGACCGTTGCTTATGCAGTGTCAGCTGCCGCGCCGAGAAACATACCAGTGACAGGTGAAGCATGCACATAGAGTAACCCTGGGCTTTTTGCATGCACCTCACAGCAGCACGTAGCACTCAGCTTAGGGTAAAACACGGGGGGGTGGCACAGCTCGGTGTTTGTGTGTGCCTGGCCGTGTTCACCACGCACATCTCGGGCTCTGTACACCTGGCTGATCGACAGGCAGGGTCTGGACTGGCATCACTGTTGAGACAACGTTTGTAGGAAAAAGGAATTACTGATATAGCTGGTAAAAAATTAGAACAAAAGCTTTGGGGGGCCCAGCCCTTTGGTCGTGGCGCATCCCTCCTGCCTTTTGGCGCTGCTGCATTAGAGAAAGGCTGGCGTGTGGTGAGGCTGGTTTGAATCCACACCTGACGCTGCGCCCTGGATTAGCAGCAAAGGCAGCGCTAATTGCGGTTGCCCTGCTGGCTCTGCAGCGGGCTGGCGATGTGCGGGCTGTGATGCAAAATTGTTCTGCCCAGTCGCCCTTTGCAGCATCACAGGAGCCGGTGCAGCAGCAGGGATGGGGGAGCCTCTGTCCCTGCTCATTGCAAGAGCCCTCATCTCGCGGATCGCTTAGTGCCGTGACGTTTGGCTGCTGCAATTCGCAGAAATACTGTGCAGGTGCTGATGTGCTTTTGCTTTCAGAAAGCAAAGATCGTACAGGAATGGAGCGGCTTGAGACCAGCGCGCCCCTGGGTTCGCTTGGAGCGGGAGCCCGTCCGCCACGGGCATTTCCAGGCAGAGGTACTGTGCACAGCCCCCAGATGCCGAGTGCCATTAACCACCACACTAATTGTGCATCAGTCACTGCGACCTTGGCAGTGCAACACCAACGTCCAGCTAACGCTGGTGCTCTTCAGCCCACAGCTGCACCGCCCTGCGTTCATTGGTGCTCGCCCTGTCTCCCCTCTAATAACGGGTGAATCTTTGAGCCAGTTTCAGCCCAGTGTCAGAGATGAGTGTCAAAGATACTAAGTTTTGTTGGATTTTATGGGGAGAGTGGGCAGGGAGTGCTCCTGCCAAAGGAAAACCTGCAGCTGGAGCTTAGTCCTTAATAGACACCAAAAAACCCGTACGGGAGAAAAACTCTGGCACGGGCTCTGCTGGTCCCAGAACCACATGAGGCACACGTGAACCATGTTTTGGTGCCAGCATTTAAAGTAGCTTGGTTTTCTGCTGGGAGCCCGTAAGTGTATAGCCCTTGTGCATGCAAACTTCATGTCTCCATTTAATAAAACCCAATACGCAGTTTTTAATAAAATGCTCAGGGCCTCCAGCACTGACACCAGGTTGTTGGTGCAAAAGGTTGGACTTCTTGAGATTTCTTCCAGTTGGAAGCTCAGCAGCAGCATGAAAGGAAACCTGGTGAAGGCACAGAGGGAGACTGGCAGGGCTGTAGCTGCCGTGGGGCTCTGGAAAATTCAGCTGCCTCTGTGTAGGTAAAGCTGGGTGTCTAGTGTAAAACTTCCCCCGGACAATGGCTCTTTAAATTGCCTTCCACGGCTAATGTATCTTTTAAGAGAAAGGAGACCAGGGATGGCACGAGTTTCAGTGTGCCATCTGTTCTCGGGCCCTCAGCACAGCACCTTTTCATGTAGGACCACATCACTCCTTAGCGCTGTCGCCTGAACGCTCATCAGCAGACCTGCAGAGGGAATCCTTGATTCGATTGCGTGCATATGTCTCTGTACAGCTTGGAAGAAGAGATTAAAGCTCCAAAGGGGATGGCGACTGCAAAATGTAATTAAATGTAATGAAAATATATTCAATTTTTAGCTGGAGAGTCTTGGAAAGAAAACGGTGTATTTAGGCAAAGCCCAGAGCACAGTTCAAAGCCATGCTGTATTTGAAATAATTTATGGATTGCTCTGTTCCTTTATCAGCACATCATATCTGCGCTGCCTTGGCACAGGAGAGGTGTAGCTATTGATCCCAGC